GAGAAAGAGAGAAAGGGAGAAAGGGAGAAAGGGAGAAAGGGAGAAAGGGAGAAAGGGAGAAAGGGAGAAAGGAAAAGGAAAAGGAAAGGAAGGTAGGCGGGGGGGAGGGAGGGAAGATCACAAGTAACTAATATGAGAAATGAAAGAGGGGACATAACAGATCCTACAGACATTAAAAGCATAAGGTATAATTTTATCTCCATTAATTTGCAACATTTACGCAAGAAAATGGACCAAGGAATTGCTTGAAAGATACAAAGTACCAAAGCTAATGTACTAAATAGATAACCAGAATAGTTCTATGATCTCTGAAAGACACTAAAATTCCTACTTTAAAAATCTGACAGAAAACTCCAGGTCCAGATAGCTTTATTGATGATTTCTATCAAACACTGAAAAGAAGAAAAAAATATCAATTCTATACAAACTATTCTAGAAAAGAGAAAGAAAGGAACATTGCCCAATTCATTTTATGAAGTCATTGTGACCTCAATTCTAAAACTGGTCAAAAGACATTATGAGAAAACTACAGACCAATTCCCTCATGAACACAGATGCAAAAATCCTCAACCAAATATTAGCATATCTGATCCTAGAAAATGGAAAATTTCTCTTACAGGCTTTAATTAATCCTGACCTGGGATGACCCCAAAAACAACCAATGGCATCTGATTCCAGTCTAAATGAAGTTCTGATATAAGCACAGAATTTTATCTAACTTTTCAAAGCTACTTTCAAAGAAAAGGCACAGCAGACAGCTTAATTTAGGGAATTAAGAAGCAGATTATATGGTAGTTGGAACATTACAGAAGAAACATTAGGGTGTTTTCTATAGACTCATGAACACACACTGAAAGCGTGGTTAAGACTATCTTGTCAGTTTCTAACAAAGAAATATAATTACTAGGGTATACTTTAAAAAAAAAAAAAAAAAAAAAACTCAGCTCTATTTTTAGTTTCTAGGATTGTGACCACGGGCATAATCCGTAACCTACTTTCTGGACATATATAAGCAGTTTGGTTTAAATACTTACCTTCGACCTGGCTAGTATCTGAGCATGGTTTCTTCTTTGACTCTGAGTTCTCGGTTTTCTCATCAACATCCAGGAGAGGAATATAGTCTGTTTTTCCAACAGTTTCTCCCACAACATCATCAAAGGCCTCTGCCTCTAGTGTGGCAATGAAGTCCCGCTTTATCTCTCCCTCAATTTCTGGAGATGGTTCTGTTAATGCATCTGCAAGACTGAGGTCAGCCATTCTGCACCACTGCAACTGCCTGGTGAAGAGGAAAAAGATGTTTCATGTAATGAGCACTGCAAAATGAAAAACATTTCTTTTTTTTTTTCTCTGAGACGGAGTTTTGCTCTTGTTGCCCAGGCTGGAGCACAATGGCACGATTTCAGCTCACAGAAACCTCCACCTCCTGGATTCAAATGATTCTCCTGCCTCAGCCTCCAGAGTAACTGGGATTACAGACATGCACCACCACGCCCAGCTAATTTCGTATTTTTAGTAGAGACAGGGTTTCTCCACGTTGGTCAGGCTGGTCTCAAACTCCCAACCTCAGGTGATCTGCCCGCCTCAGCCTCCTAAAGTGCTGGGATTACAGGCATGAGGCACCGCACCCAACCAGGAAAAACATTTCTAGAAACTCTTGTCAATTGTTTGAAACAAACAAAAGAATCAAAATATAAGATTTCACAGCTAGAAGAGGTTCCCTCATTTGAAAGATGAGAAAATTAAAACTGAGAAATGGACAGTCTCGCCCAAGGTAACTCACTGCTAGTTACTCTTTTCTCATATTTTGGCAGGGGTGGAGGGTGGTGGTGGTGGCAGAACAAAGCAATTGCAATTGTGTCCTTTCTATTTATAAGAAAAATGAGGTGCAAAAAACCCCACAATCAATATATCCAAAGTTACAGCCAGTAAGATTCAAATCAGATGTTTACATAGTTACCTTACTATTAGACAAATGAAATCAACTTTCTTGATCAAAGACTGTGAGTATGGGTCTTATCTTGGAGTAAGTACCTTTTTCTTCATGAATCATTTGTGGATAGCCCTGTCAACCAAACTACTAAGTGCTGCCAGCATTTAAAAAAAAAAAAAAAAAAAAAGACATGTCCCCTCAATTAGCTAGGGGAGATAGTCCCTCTCTTAGTCATGTATATTTTTACAGACCACCAGGCTCTTAATTACATAATCTGACGTTAAGAAGTAAATCTACTGGCAGCCATAAAAAAGAACGGTATCAGGTCCTTTCAGGGAACATGGATGGGGCTGGAGGATATTATCTGCAGCAAACTAATGCAGGAACAAAAAACCAAATACCACACGTTCTTACTTATAAGTGGGAGCTAAATGATGAGAACTTATGAATACAAAGAAGGAAATTGCAGACACCGGGGTCTACTTGAGGGTGAAGGGTAGGAGGAGGGAAAGGGGCAGAAAAGATAATTATTGAGTACTGGGCTTAATTCCTGGGAGATGAAATAATCTGTACAATAAACACTCATGACATGTATTTACCTATGCAACAAACTTTCACGTGTATCCTTGAACCTAAAATAAAGTTAAAAAAGTAAATCTGGCCGGGCGCGGTGGCTCAAGCCTGTAATCCCAGCACTTTGGGAGGCCGAGGCGGGTGGATCACGAGGTCAAGAGATCGAGACCATCCTGGTCAACATGGTGAAACCCCGTCTCTACTAAAAATACAAAAAATTAGCTGGGCATGGTGGCGTGTGCCTGTAATCCCAGCTACTCAGGAGGCTGAGGCAGGAGAATTGCCTGAACCCAGGAGGCGGAGGTTGCGGTGAGCCGAGATCGCGCCATTGCACTCCAGCCTGGGTAACAAGAGCGAAACTCCGTCTCAAAAAAAAAAAAAAAAGTAAATCTACTATAGGCAAAATCATAGGTGAACAGCCTAGAAAATACAGAAATAATGTAGTAAAAAGAGCCAAAGGGGCCGGGCACAGTGGTTCACACCTGTAACCCCAGCACTTTGAGAGGCCAAGGCAGGTAGGTTACTTGAGACCAGGAGTCCGAGACCAGCCTGGCCAACGTGGTGAAACCCTATCTCTACTAAAAATACAAAAATTAGTAAGGCATGGTGGTGGGTGCCTAAAATCCCAGCTACTTGGGAGGCTGAGGTACGAGAATGCTTGAACCAGGAGCGGAGGCTGAAGTGAACCAAGGATGCACCACTGCACTCCAGCCTGGGCAACAGAGAGAGGCTCCATCTCCCCCTACACAAAAAAAAAAATTAAAAAGAAAAAAGAGCCAAAGGCCTGCAATAAATTGAGCACCATTCAAAAACAAAGCATATTAGGAAATAAAGTGTGCAAGGGACTACTATTGCTTTCAAAGAGTCTAATAGAAACTCCAAGAGAATTCATAGGATAAGTTGACATACAAGCTATGTTGCTAAGGTAAATAAAAGTCAAATAGATCCTTAGTTGCATAATGTAATGGATACTACTTGTGTTTGCCCAGAAATCTATTCTGCTATCTCTCCCAATACAAACCAATCCCTACGCCTATCGGGTCTGGGACATGACTAGAGTTGGGTCAATCAGAAGTCAGGAAGAAGACAGCTGGAAAGGACAATATATTGACTACACGCTGGAAGAAAAGTCCATGAGTGACAGCTGTTTAGTTGCCCTGGTTGACTACTTCAAGTCTAAGTGAGCAGCCTTCATCTTTCTTTTGCCTAATTTAGTCAATCTATTTCTCCTGGTACATGGTATGCAGCCACTGACTCTGCAAATGCCTTTTCTCCATTTCTGTCCATAAGGCCAACCAGAAACAATTTGCCTTCAGGGGGCAAGGCTAGCAATATATCTTTACTCTCCTACCTGGCTCTCCAGCTTTGTGTCATAATCTTATTCAGAGAGACCTTGATCACTTTTCGCTTCCACAGATATCATACTCGTCCATTATGCTGACGACATTATGCTGATTGGATCTAGTGAGCAATAAGCAGCAAATACACTGGACTTACTGTGTGACATTTGCATGCCAGAGGATGGGAAATAAATCAGACTAAAAATTCAGGGACCTTCTGTCTCAGTAAAATTTCTAGGGATCCAGTGATGTGGGGCCTGTCAAGATATTCCCTCTAAGTTAAAGGATAAGTTGCTGTGTTTGGCCCCTCCTACAACCAGGAAACAGGCACAATGCCTAGTGGGCCTATTTGGATTTTGGAGGCAACACATTCCTCATTTGAGTGTGTTATTCCAGCCCATTTATCGAGTGATCTGAAAGGCTGCCAGTTTTGAGTGGGGTCCAGAACAAGAGAAGGTTCTGCAACAGGTCCAGGCTGCTGTGCAAGCTGCTCTGCCACCTGGGCCATATGACCCAGCAGCTCCAGTGGTGCTTAAGGTGTCAGTGGCAGATAGGGATGCTGTCTGGAGTCTTTAGCAGGCTCCCATAGGTGAATCACAGTGGAGACTTCTAGGATTTTGGAGCAAGGCCCTGCCACCTTCTGCAGATAACTAATCTCCCTTTTTTTTTTTTTTTTTTTTTTTTGAGACGGAGTCTTGCTCTGTCACCAGGCTGGAGTGCAGTGGGCAATCTTGGTTCACTGCAACCTCTGCTTCCCGCGTTCAAGTGATTTTCCTACCTCAGCCTCCCAAGTAGCTGAGACTACAGATGCGTGTCACCACGCCCAGTTAATTTTTGTATTTTTAGTAGAGACGGGGTTTCATCATGTTTGCCAGGATCATCTCAATCTCCTGACCTTATGATCTGCACACCGCGGCCTCCCAAAGTGCTGGGATTACAGGCATGAGCCATCGCACTCAGCGAACTACTCTCCTTTTGAGAGACAGCTCTTGTCCTGTTACTGGGCTTTGGTAGAAACTGAATGTTTGACTATGGGTCATCAAGTGACCATGCGACCTGAACTGCCTATCATGAACTGGGTTCTTTCTGACAGATCTAGCCATAAAGTAGGTCATGCACAGCACCATTCCATCATCAAATTGAAGTGGTATATACACGGTCAGGCTCGAGGAGGTCCTGAAGGTACAAGTAAGTTACATAAGGAAGTGGCTCAAATGCCCATGGTCTCCACTCCTGCCACCCTGCCTTCTCTTCCCCAGCATGCGCCAATGGCCTCATGGAGAGTTCCCTATGATCAGTTGACAGAGGAAGAGAAGACTAGGGCCTGCTTCACAGATGGTTCTACACTATATGCAGGCACCACCCAAAAGGGGACAGCTGCAGCACTACAGCCCCTTTCTAGGGCATCCCTGAAGGACAACAGTGAAGGGAAATCTTCCCAGTGGGCAGAACTTTGAGCAGTGCACCTGGTTTTCCACTTCACATGGAAAGAGAAATGGCCAGATGTGTGATTATATACTGATTTCATGGACTATAGCCAATGGTTCGGCTGGATGGTCAGGGACTAGGAAGGAGCATGATTAGAAAATTGGTGACAAAAAAATTTGGGGAAGAGGTATATGAATGGACCTCTCTGAGTGGTCAAAAACTCTGAAGATATTTGTATCCCATGTGAGTGCTCACCCGCGGGTAACCTCAGCGGAGGAGGAGTTTAATAATCAAGTGGATAGTATGACCCATTCTGTGGATACCACTCAGCCTCTTTTCCCAGCCACCCCTGCCATTGCCCATGGCCAACAAAGTGGCCATGGTGGCAGGGATGGAGGATATGCATGGGCTCAGCAACATGGACTTCCACTCACCAAGGCTGACCTGGTTACGAACACTGCTGAGTGCCCAATTTACCAGCAGCAGAGACCAACACCAAGCCCTCAATATGGCACCATTCTTCAGGTGATCACCCAGCTACCTTGGACAGATTAATTATATTGGACCTCTTCCATCATGGAAAGGGAAGAGGTTTGTCCTCACTCAAAGAGGCATTCTGGATATAGTTTGCCTATGTTGCATGCAGTGCTTCTGCCAAGACTACCATTTGTGGACTCACGGGATGTGTTGTTTTGTTTTTGAGATGGAGTCTCACTCTGTTGCCTACGCTGGAGTGCAGTGGCACAATCTTAGCTCACTGCAACTTCCGCCTCCTAGGTTCAAGTGATTCTCCTGCTTCAGTCTCCCAAGTAGCTAGGATTATAGGCACCTGCCAGCATGCCCAGCTAATTTTTATATTTTCAGTAGAGACAGGGTTTCACCCCGTTGGCCAGGCTGGTCTCAAACTCCTGACCTCAAGTGATCCACCCACCTTGGCCTCCCAAAGTGCTGGGACTACAGGCGTGGGCCACAGCACCTGCCAACTCACAGAATGCTTTATCCACC